TCTCTCTCTCTCTCTCTCTCTCTCTCTCTCTCTCTCTCTCTCTCTCTCTCTCTCTCTCTCTCTCTCTCTCTCTCTCTCTCTCTCTCTCTCTCTCTCTCTCTCTCTCTGTTTACATCAACAGTTGCTTGTTTTATTTAATATTCTTTGGGATGACATTCCTAAATTTGATATATCTTGTGTTATACATTACATAATTTATTGGTGCTAAGAATCTTAGTTCTTTGCACATCCTATCTCACATCTGCAATTTACTTCTGATGTCATTGTTTTTAAGACACAGTAAGCTCCCTGAAATAGAAAAGTACCTTGAATTAATTGGGTTTAACAGGCATGGCGAAATAGCGAAACTTGACTGGCATATTATAACTATTAATAAGTTGCTTGTTTAAGTTTTGCCATATAAAATGATGAGCGCAATATCTGCAGATTGAAACTGTTGGGCTTGGAACCTTGAAAAGAAGCAAGGAGCTGCCATAAAGAAATATCAATTTTTGCACCCATAGGCATTGTTATTTTTGGTTGAGCCTTTTTTATTCCCTCCCCTTCAGCATGCATCAAAATAAAGGGTCTGTATGGTAAAAGGAGAAATAAAAATTTTAAGCAAGTCATTATATTTAGTTTCTTTTTCATAAGGCATAATAAAAAATATAATGCTGCAAATTATTTGAACTGTTATGTCCAGACTCATGAGATTCAGAAATACGTGCGTGTTTTTATAAACAAATTAAAAAAAATTGCATTGGAAGCTTGAAAAGCAGCAAAGAGCTGCTATAAAGAAATATCAATTCTTGCACCCATAGGCATTGTTATTTTGGGTTGAGCCTTGTTATTCCCTCCCCTTTAGCCTGCATCAAAATAAAGGGGTTTGTATGGTAGAAGGAGAAATAAAAATTTTATGCGAGTCATTTTACTTAGTTTCCTCTTCATAAGGGGTTAGGTTTTATTTGGTGAAAGGAAAAATAAAAATTTTAAGCTAGTCATTGTACTTTGTTACCTCTTCGTAAGGCATAATGAAAAGTATAACGCTGCAAATGATTTGAACTGTTTCATCACTCGATTGTATCATTTCGGTTGTTATGTATCCATCTGCTAAAATATCTATTAACACTTTCACAAACTGATCTCTTTTTCCATTTGCAGAAATTTTTGAATTTGATGCGATGATTGATCCTCCATCAACAATGGACATTAATGTGTATGATTTTGACGGACCTTTTGATGAAGCAGTTTCACTGGGCCATACTGAAGTCAACTTTCTGAAATCTAACTTATCAGAATTGGCAGATGTATGGATTCCTCTAGAGGGAAAATTAGCTCAGGCATGCCAATCTAAGTTGCATCTGAGAATCTTCCTTCACAACACTCGAGGTGTCCAAGTTGTTTCAGACTATCTAACAAAGATGGAGAAAGAAGTTGGTAAAAAGGTTGGTACTGTTGTAATTTTGAGATTCTTTTTTTGGATGTTTAAATTATTAACTCAGGCAGCTCTTTACAATTTTCATTGCATAGATAAATTTGCGGTCACCTCAGACAAATTCAGCATTTCAGAAGCTATTTAGTCTACCGCCGGAAGAGTTTCTAATCAATGATTTTACTTGTCACTTGAAGCGCAAAATGCCAATACAGGTTCATTTTTTATATTTCATAATTTCCTTGTTCCTGGATAGTTAGCTTTACGATCTGGAAGATGAAAGGCCCATGTAAAATATTGAATTCTTTGAAATCTCAAAAGCATGGCCAAGCTACTCCAATGGTAATTTGTCTTTTTATTTTTATTTTTTTTCAGGGTCGTCTGTTTCTTTCTCCAAGAATAATTGGATTTTACACCAATCTTTTCGGGCACAAGATCAAGTTTTTCTTTCTCTGGGAAGATATTGATGACATCCAAATTGTTCCCCCATCTTTGACATCAATGGGTAGTCCTTCTTTATTGATTATTCTTCGCCGTGGTAGAGGTTTGGATGCAAGGCATGGAGCCAAGTCACTGGACCCTGACGGAAGGTTGAAATTCCAGTTCCAATCATTTGTTTCATTCAGCGTGGCAAACAGGTAATTAATCATCACTTAAGAACATTTTTTTTCTTGGTTTTGCTTGGAACTTTTAGCTTATGGGAAAGGATTGTAACGTAACTATGAGTTTGCAAACTTAACTTTCCTGAGGGTAGGCTTGTGGTGGTGTTGATAATTGTTAAGAGATAAATTATGCCCTTAATTTTCTTGGATGCACGTTTTAGCATCTTAGTAGAACAGGTGCATTTGGATACCACTTCTTATCCGTGCTTGGCCATTCTTTTTTAGCGATTTGCCGTTTTACTTACTGATTACTATTGTTATTATCTAATTGTTTAATTTTGTCTTTTGTCTGCTAGTGAGTAGTGGGTTGTTTGTATTTTCCATTTTGTTCTTACCGAAAGTAGTCATGTTGATGGCTCAAGGCTCCAATTTTACCTTTTTCGATTCATCTCATCTTCTTCCTCGCGATATTAGTTTTCCCCATATTGGTTTTAGACATAGTGGATGTAGGAGCCCGGAGCACAAAGACGATTGTTGTCGAGAAATGTTTATTCTTGAGCACAATTGGAGGGTTTCAGTAGCTAGTTCTGACAATTTGTACTTGAAATTTGGCAAGAGCTTTGAGCCTTCAAGAACAAAGGTAGTAACCTACCAACAACCACCGACAAAACTTGCAATTTTACCAGGGGTGGGTGTGTCGGCCATTTTAATTTTCGGTATTGAAAAATATAGAAAAAAATATGAA